ATACTTCCTGGTTTCACTGAGTGGCCCAACACTGGGACTGGGTTGGTGTCCCCTCCGCTGACAGGACCTACTCCTAGGAGCAAAGTGGTTGATTTTGAAGGCAGTGTTCCCTTCTCTCCGTTGACTATGAGAGAGTTGGGGGACACACATGCAGAAGAAGCCCGTGGGGAGAAGGTGGCTTGCTAGTGTGCTGGCTGGTTTTTCAGGGCTGTTGGAGGGGTTTTTTTTTTCTTTTTTTTTATGGCAAGACTTTCGGCTTTGAGAAAACTCACTTAAAGGGCTTTCCAAAAACTTAGGGTGATCTTAAAAATTAGGATATTCTTTTAGAATTAGGAAGAAAATGTAGGATATTCTAAAAGAGTATGGATTAAAAATTTAGGATATTCTTTGAGAATATCCTAATATCCAGATGAGAAGCCTTCATTCATAAGATCTGGTTGTTTGGGCTGTGGCTGACATAATTGATGTTTATTTTGGCCTCTGTCACATCCAGTTTCTTTAGCTTTTAAGGTAAGCTTCTTTTGGCTTTTTTTCAGATGTTCACCAAGCTTAAGTTTAAAATAGTAGGTATTCTAAAAGAGTATTCTAATTTTCTTATCTGTATTCTTTTAGAATATCCTGTTTCAGACAGTAATATTCTCTTGTTATTTCTAAGGCTAAATTGGCAGAGTATATCATCTAAAGTCAAACACTAAAGAAGGTGAGAACCCACTCCCACCCAGCCAGCATTTCCTGGAACAGACAAGCTGCTGCTTCCTTGCTGGCTCACTTAGTGCATTCCTGGGATGGTCTGGCACCCAGGCTTTTTATTCTTTTTGAAGATTGTTCTTACTGAGGTGCCTTCCTAGAACAAGAGCCACTTACAAAATGGCTTATAATTATTATGTACCACACAGCTACTATTGTTTGATGTATGATTGCTGAGAGCTTGAATACATGCAGAGAGTGACTGAAGACTTAGTAGAGGAATAAATTCTGAGCCTGTATAAGGTGGGGCTAAGGAACAAGTGAATAATAAGAGGCTCTTGGATTTTTTTAACCAATGCAAGTGACCCTTTCAATCAGTTTTCTTTGAATTACAAGTTTTGTTCCACTCAGCTACCAGTCAACTAGGCACTGTTCCACAGTATAGCAGGAAGAAGGTCAGAAATCCGGACCTGAGGCTAAAATAAGTGAGGATATAGAAGCCACATTCCTCTCCAAGGTAGTGTGTGAAAGAACCGCCCCCTCTTGAGAGGAGGATGACCCGTCACCATTCTTGCTTGGGACTGACTCACCTAGCTGAGAGGAGAACCAACAGGAAGAAAATTCACATTTGAATCCAGCTGTCTCCCCCTTTTTCTGGCCTTCATAAGATCTGGTTGGTTGGGCTATAGGTGGCATAATTGATGTTTATTTTGGCCTCTGTCACATCCAGTTTCTTTAGCTTTTAAGGTAAGCTTCTTTTGGCTTTTTTTCAGATGTTCACCAAGCTAAAATTTAAAATAGTAAGACCAGGTTTCTCTCTCTACAAGTGGATTATAAACATTTTCACGAAATCAAAACAATACTCAGCTTTCCGGCCTGACTTCCTAGAGCCTGGAGTTAGCAAAGGGTGTCTCTGGATTCCATTCTCTGAGAATATCACCGAGCCTGGGAGAAGATGAATTTACATGAAATTGCAACATACACACCTTTTTATTTTCTGGTGTTGAGGTAGTTGTCTTTCCTACCTTACAAATCATGTTAGTTTTATGATTTGTTCTGCATGTTTTATGTTTATTGTAGAAATGTTTATATAACATGCTTTCCGTATCAGGGAAAATCATATCTGTTTAATAAATTGGCTATAACTTTAATATCTGTGGACAACTTGTAAAATTTGGAATGTATCATATGTAAAAAGTTCAAAGATATCCAAATAAATGCTTTAGGTGTTGGCATTACTTTTCGTTAGCATATATCTTTCTGTTTCATTTTACACACTTAACCTGCCACAGCAATGTGCCCCGTGTCACCTTGCTACAAATATAGTGGGATATCTGTATTAGCTTTAAATTTAAGAAGCTTATATTATTAGTGTCAATTATGGCCATTAGCCAAACTATCTTGACCTTCCCAGATAAAGTGTGATCATCATTTCAGCTGATTAATTTCATATTCATTAGCCATGACAGCGTGTGACCTTTCTGGACCATTTTGGAACTCAAATCAGTGGGAAACAGGACACTCCAAGACCTGTGTCTGGGTTTAAACTCCTGTTCATCCTTACCTGGTGATCTCAAGGTCCTTGTCCTTACATACTCCCCACTTCCTGCTTTTGAGAGAGAGAGAGGAAGGCAGCTACACTGTCTTCCTAGGGGAGTCATTGTCCATGAGAATTCTGTTTTTTTGAAATCCTCTTGAGAGCATCAAACTAAAACAGCAAGGTTTCCATTGCACTCGCCCTGCCTCCTGGTCATTAACGCTGCTCCCAGCCTACTGCCTTCACTACTCTTTTAGTTCCAGGAACTCATGAAGCCCCTTCTGACTTGTTCCTCTCTCTCTTCCTACTCTTGGTTTTGGTGGTGGTGGTTTGGTTTGGGTTTTTTTTGAGAGACAGGGTCTTGCTCTGCCCCCAGGCTGGAGTGCAGTGGCACAGCCTTGGTTCATTGCAGCCTCAACCTTCTGGGCTTGAGCAATCCTCCCACCTCAGCCTCCCCAATAGCTGGTACTATAGGCACATGCCACCACGCCTGGCTAATTCCTGTGTTTTTTGTTTGTTTGTTTCTTGCTTTTTGTTTTTGTTTTGTTTTTTTGTAGATATGGTCGCGCTGTGTTGCCCAGGCTGGTCTTGAACTCTTGGGTTCAAATGATTCTCAAGCCTCAGCCTCCCAAAATGCTAGGATTATAGGTGTGAACCACTGTATCTGGCCTGTTCCTGCTCTTGTTTTTTAAGTCACATTTATTGAGGTATATTTTACAAACAGATTAACTTTTTAGTGTACAGTTTTATACATTTTAACAAATGCATACAGTTTAACAACCACAATCAAGAAACAGAACAATTCTGTCATCCCCAAAAGTCCCCTTTGTAGTCAGCTTCTTGCCTCATCCTGGCTTCCAGCTACCAGTGCTTTTCTCTCCCTTTGTTTTGCCTCTTCCTGAATGTTATATAAATGGAATTGTATCGTATGTAGCATTTGGAGTCTGGCTTCTCACTAAAGAAGAACACATCTGGGTCCTCCCTGTTGTTCCTTTGGATTGCTGAGTAGCATTCCATTGTGGACTTCTGGGCAGTTGCCAGATGAAGGGCATTTGGGTGAGTTTGGATGATTGTTTTGGTGATTGCTGCAAACATTCATGGATAGGTTTTTGTACAAACCTGAATTTTCACTTCCCTCAGGTAAATCGCTAGAAGTTGTCACTTACATCTTAATCCTCCTCTTGACGCCATCCTGAGAGCTCAGCATTCTCTAATCTCTAACTTTGCTGTTTACACTCCTCTGTGATGGACAGGATAAAATGCTGTCAGGAGTTAAGGTCTGACATGTTTTTCCCCTTCCATCCAGTCTATCCATTGTGACCTGGGAAGGCACCTCTCTCTTCCCTGGACTTTCATAGTATTCGACAGACACTTTTCTCTTCCTAACACAGTGCTGCTGCCTGCCTGCCTGCGCTGTCATTGAAAGCCATCTTTTTAGCCAGTAGTGGATGAAAAGCCCTTTCTTGGTCCACGATTGCCCCTGGCTAAGCTGCAAACATGCTGGCTTAGCATAACAGGTGCCCGAACGAGGAGGGGCAGGGGAGCGTGCAGAGCGGGCACCTAATCTTATTAACCCATATTAAGGTTACTAGGGGTTTATTTACTGGCAGCTCAGTCCTGGGCTTGAAGCATGTTGTAAAGAAGCTGTGGGTTCTGGAACTGAGGCCAAAAATTCCAGGACACAACTTCCCAAATATTCAGGATAGTCATCACCTGTTTCTTCACTATGGAGTGAGCATTTTAAAAATGCAAGTCCTAAGGCTCTGTCTTTACCCCTCACCCCTGTCCCAGGGCTATGCTGGCAGAACTTTAAAAGCTGGCTGGGCCAGCTGCAGTGGCTCACTCCTGTAATCCCAGCACTTTGGGAGGCCAAGGCAGGCAGATCACCTAAGGACAGGAGTTCAAGACCAGCCTGGACAACATGGCAAAACCCCATCTCTACCAAAAATATAAAAATTAGCAGGATGTGGTGGCCAATGCTGTAATCCCAGCTAGTAGGAAGGCTGAGGCAGGAGAATCACTTGAACCCAGGAGGCAGAGGTTGCAGTGAGCTGAGATCATGCCATTGCACTCCAGCCTGGGCAACAAGAGCAAAACTCCATATTTGGGGGGAAAAAAAAAAATGCTGCCTGGGTCCCTCAGGAGAAAAGGATTTACACCAGCCCAACGAAAGACTGAAGTTACACACAAGCAAAAACCTGATAGTAGAGACTTCCTGGGCACTGGTATGTGACCAAAAGGGATGGTCCAGGTTTCTCTAGCAACTACCGGCTACCTGAGAAGACTGTTAAAATGCAGTTAACCCTAAGCCTGCTCCAAACCAATGAATGAGATATATTGTAGGGTCAGTGCACTCTTGGGCCTCTCAACAACCTTCAGATGCTCAGGTTGTTCACATTTGCCCCTATAACCTGGCCCCGTAGGGATATTTCCCTGTTTGAGGAAATAATGTTTTGGCCAGAGGAGAAGAAAAAATGGCTTGGAGTTTTGCCTAAATTACTACATTAAAATTCCATGTATTCAGCTCTGGTTCAAACTCTAGCAAATGCTGAGATGATTTGGATATAATAATAGTCACTGCTATAATAGTCACTGTTGTTACAGGTAAGAGATGGCCAGATGGAGTGATGTGATACGCAGGCCATGTTTATAACAATAAGCGTTACCAATGCTTCCCTTTAGGGTGGGTTTCTTTTCCTTTTTGGCAAATACTAGCTGTAGTCGGGGATTCTGTGATACATGTTGTTGAATGGGCTTAGTCATTTAACAAAAGTGATTTTCATACAGTATGAATTTTAATATCTGTTGACAGCTGTTAACAGCATAGTTACACTTGTGGGCCTAGAGCAGCATTTTCACCATGGTTCTCAGCACTCTTGAGAGACGGCGAGAGCTCAGGGACCTTTGCCAAAGATGTCTGGCTCAGCATTTTTTCAGTAGGGATCATTCCTTGGCCTCCATGAGACTCAGAAATCTAATTAAACTTGGGACCAACGTCTGACAGGGTGTCCTGACATCTTGGATCTGGTCTTCTGCTTGGGGGAATTAAGCCCAGAACATACCCCAGGCAGCACCAGAAGTCTTATTTTCTCTACACTGAAGTTCTTAGGACAGCAAAGAACCCAAACTGAGTCCAAAGTAACCTATTCCCAAACACCATCGGTCAGAAGCAGAGGTAAATTATCTACGGTTCCCTTTCTGGTTTTTGCCTTCTGGCTGAGGTCTCCAGCCAGGTAGGAATGAGCTGTCTTGAATATTCATCCAACTGGCGGAATTCTGCTGGGCCCCGCCTTGGTCTGGTCACCAGGGTCTGGGAAGTCAGCAAAATCATTCCTTCCCCTGAAAGCTTCTCTTTCCCAAAGAAAGTGAAAACTCATGTATTTGCTAGCTCAGGAAGATGGGCTATCTCAAAGCATCTCCTTAGATGCAGAAGCATTCCAGAAATAGTGTTTCTGGAGAAGAAGAAGCTCCCAGAGAATTCCTTGCCCTTTGCTGTGGACAATTAGTGTTGTCCATAGGACTGTGATGGCCACCTGTGTGAGTGTCCCTGGGCCCACCAAGAGCTGAGGCCTGGTCTCCAAAGGGTGGACTCGTGTCTGATTGTTGCTCCTCTTCCACAGCAGGGCAGCAGCCTACCCCAGTGCTTCCACAGATGAGCCACAGGAGATCACCCGGCACTTTAGGGGTGGTGTGGTGCTGGGACACGCCAGCAGCCTGACTTCCTCAACCCATGGTTCACTCCAGACTCAGTGACTGAGGGCATGTGAATGGGACACAAAAGCAGGCCTTTCACTGTGTTTTTGGTAGGGGAAATAATCTCCTGCCTTGAAATTCTCTTGCTTCATGATTAAAGAATCCTGTTTAGAGCCCTCAATGCCTTAAGAGTCTGTTATTCTTAGAAAAGTGTAACTTTCCCCCAACTTCTGGCATTAAGCAAATGGCCAACCTGTCAACCTTGGCATTAAAAAAAAAAAAAAAAAAGACAACATGGCCATTTTTCAAACTTCTGTACTTATGCACCAAGTGACACTTTGGATATAGAATGAAGCAACATGGAGCTCATAAGAGGTAAATTCTAAAAGGGGAGCAGCCCTCGGATACGGCCAGTGACTGTAGGGTAGGACTAAATCCGTGTGAGAAAGACGGGTCCTGGGCTAGCCATCTGAGAGAGCCCCTGAGTCACCAAGAGGGCATATCCTAGGGCAGCGGGCCTGAAGGGAGCTCGCTCATTCACATTTTGGGTCAGTCATTCAACAACTGTGTGTCAAATGCTTTTAGGGACCCTAAACTTAAATTCCACCATCAGGGAGATTCTCTGTGAGATGGTGCCCTCCTTGGGAGATTCAGACTTTCAGAGTTGGACGAGGGGGAGATCCGCGTTTCTTGAGTCCACTATTTCTCAGTGTTCGGGAGGGGAGGGGCCCCAGGGCCCTCAGCCAGCCTCTGGGGCCTGGCCTGCGTCTGCGCCCTCGGCTTCCACCTGGTTGCCCTTGCCCAGCTTCTTCACGCTCTCCAGAAAGGCCTTCCAGGTCTCTGGCACGCTCTTCTCCAGCAGCCAGCCCTCGCTCTCACTCTCAGGTTCCTCGGGGTTGGACACACGGTCCAGTGACGTCTGCAGATAGCGCAGCCCAATTGTAATGGTCACCTGATGGCGGGAGAAGAGATTTAGAGACAATCTGGGAGAATCACTGGGAGCTGGATCACTAGGAAACCACAGGAGCCTCAAAATGAGGGTCCCAGAGAGGACTCAACCTGAGCACTGTGGAATGTGGATTGGTGACAGCCTGCCCCACGCTGCCCTGCCCTCAGTGTTCAACACACCTGACTCCTCCAGCCTCATCTCAGACCCCTCTCTTCTTCCCTTTCCAGCCACTCTGGGCTGCTTTGGATTCGCCCATGCCCCATACTCTCTCCTCTCTAGGTCTTTACCATTTGCTATGCTCTGCCTAGAACCTCGTTCCACTCCATGTTCATCTGTTAATTCATCTTTAGCCCTTGGTGAGCTCCCCTGCAGCTCATCCTCCCTCCGCGCCCCCTCGGGTCGCTGCCATCCCAGGTGCATTATTCCTGGGTTCCTTCACCTCGGTGCCCCTCTACACCCTGTCGCTTGGTACATATTGTGTGGTTCAGTAACTTCTTTGGGTGGAATTAAGAGGTCATCTCCTTTTCTGCATCTGCTGTGTGGTACTTTTTTTTTTTTTTTGAGACGAGTCTCGCTCTGTCACCCAGGCTGGAGTGCAGTGGCATGGTCTCAGCTCACTGCAAATTCTGTCTCCCATGTTCAAGGAATTCTCGTGCCTCGGCCTCTTGAATAGCTGAGATTACAGGGGCCTGCTACCATACCTGGCTAATTTTTGTATTTTTTGTTGTTGTTATTGTTGTAGATATGTGGTTTCCCCATGTTGCCAGCTGGCCTCGAACTCCTGGCCTCAAGAGATTCACCCGCCTTGACCTCCCAAAGTGCTGGGATTACAGGTGTGAGCCACGGTGCCCGGCTTTTCCATTATTTTGATGAGCACAGTGATGAGTGGACGCTGGTAAAAAATAATTTGGATTTGTTCACTAGTATTCACTGTGTGGCAGATTTCATGCTAAAATGCCTAGGTTCAAACCCAGTCCTGGCACTTAGCCAGCCATGTTACCAGGAAACCTCACTTTATTCATCTGGTTTGCAGATTTTCAGATGAAGTGGTTCCCGCCTTGTGTGGATACTGTGACACTTTAATATGTGTAAAACACACAGGCCGAGTACATGGGTGCATGCCTGTAATCCCAGCACTTTTGGAGGCCAAGGTGGAGGGAGAATTGCTTGAGCTCAGGAGTTTGAGACCAGCCTGGGCAACATAGCGAGACCTCATCTCTACTAAAAATAAAAATAAAAATAAAAATAATTGCTGGGTGTGGTTGTGCGTGCCTGTAGTCCCGGCTACTCGGGTACTTGTGTAGCCAAGATGGGAGGATGTCATGAGCCCTGGAGATGGAGGCTGCAGTGAGCCATGATTGCACCACTGCACTCTAGCAAACACCACCACAGTACCTGGTGCACAGTAGGACCAACAGAAGAGTCAGCTGTAGCGGATCATTAGCTTATTGTTTTCACTTTTCTTTTTTTTTTTTTTTTTTTTTTGAGATGGAGTCTCACTCTGTCACCCAGGCTAGAGTGCAGTGGCACGATCTCAGCTCACTGCAACCTCCGCCTCCCGGGTTCAAGCGATTCTCCTACCTCAGCCTCCCGAGTAGCTGGGATTATAGGCATCAAAAACTTGGCACCACACCCGGCTAATTTTTATATTTTTAGTAGAGACAGGGTTTCACCATGTTAGCCAGGCAGGTCTCAAACTTCTGACCTCAGGTGATCTGCCCGCCTCAGCCTCCCAAAGTGCTGGGATTACAGGCATGAGCCACCACACCCTGTTTTCACTTTTCTATAATAGATTCCATTAGCCACTTGTTTCTATACAAATTCCTGGCTTGCTCTCCTCCACTTCTCTGTATGGCATAGCAAGCTCTCAGGGATGAAGCTGCTCCCTGAGGGCAGGGATGGCCCTTACTCATCTGGCTCACTCAGAATCCCAGCACCTAGAACAGTACCAGGTAGGGGGAGGGCCTCAGTAAATTTCTTTTGAATGAATACTCTGGGACATTTGATAATTATGGTAGTAGATAATAATAACTGAGAGTTTTAGATTTATGTTACTGTCAACTGGAAGTTGAATAAATATTTTTACAGAGGAAAAAGTCACCTCCTCCATGAAGTCCTCTTGATGTGAACGCGTCCACTCTGATCCCCTCCTGCTTTCCTGAAAGAGACTCTCTGCACTGTGAGTTTTGCACTTGGTAATGATCCTCCCTTTGGCTCATAAATTAGACATCATCTCCTGACTAGATTGTGAAGCCTAGGCAGGCACAGCCAAGATCAGACTCCTAACGTTACGCTCAGCCACCCTTGGCCCATCAGACCTCTGTCCATTAAACGCTCCAAGTAAAAGGGGCATTTGAATGCCCTCTTCCCAATAAGCTGATCCTTGTCTAATGCAGTCCACTAAATTCCTGTAAAGGTGGGCCACGGAGAGGCAGAAAATGGAACCCCATTTTCCCACTGACTTTTTCTTTCTTTCTTTCTTTCTTTTTTTTTTTTTCTTTCTTTCTTTCTTTTTTTTTTTTTTTTTCTTTTTTTTTTTTTTTTGGAGCTAGAGTCTGCCTCTGTTGCCCAGGATAGAGTGCAGTGTTGAGATCATGGCTCATGGCTCCTGGCAGCCTCGAACTCCAGGGCTCGGGTGATCCTCCTGCCTCAGCCTCCTAAGTATCCAGGACTACACGTGTGCACCACCGCACACGGCTAATTTTTATGTTGGTGGTGGTGGTGGTGGTGTTTTTTCGTTCTGTTTTGTTTTTCCTGAGACGGAGTTTCGCTCTTGTTGCTCAGGCTGGAGTGCAATGGCGTGATCTCGGCTCACTGCAACCTCCACTTCCCGGGTTCAAGTGATTCTCCTGCCTCAGCCTCCTAAGTAACTGGGATTACAGGCATGCACCATTAGGCCCGGCTAATTTTGTATTTTTCGTAGAGACAGGGTTTCTCCATGTTGGTCAGGCTGGTCGCAAACTCCCAACCTCAGGTGATCTGCCCGCCCAAAGTGTTGGGATTATAGGCGTGAGCCACCGCGCCTGGCCGTCATTTTTGTGTTTTTTGTAGAGACGAGATCTTGCTATGTTCCCCGGCCTGGTCTAAACTCCTGGGCTCAATTGATCTTCCTGCCTTAGTCTCCCAAATCCTAGCTAACGCCTGCTAGGATTACAGGCGTGAGCCACCGCTCCTGGCTCCGCTGACTTCTTTTATGCCTCCATCTCTGGGGCTCATGAGATCCTCCCATCTTGGCCATCCGAGTACCTGAGCTGAGTAGCTGGGACTACAGGCATGTGCCACCACGTCCAGCAATTTTTTTTTTTTTTTTTTGGGACGGAGTCTCGCTCTGTCGCCCAGGCTGGAGTGCAGTGGCGCGATCTCCGTTCACTGCAAGCTCCGCCTCCCGGGTTCACGCCATTCTCCTGCCTCAGCCTCCCGAGTAACTGGGACTACAGGCGCCCGCCACCACGCCCGGCTAGTTTTTTGTATTTTTTAGTAGAGACGGGGTTTCACCGGGTTAGCCAGGATGGTCTTGATCTCCTGACCTCGTGATCTGCCCATCTCGGCCTCCCAAAGTGCTGGGATTACAGGCTTGAGCCACCGCGCCCGGCCTTTTTTTTTTTTTTTTTCAGTAGAGATGAGGTCTCACTATGTTGCCCAGACTGGTCTCAAATTCCTGAGTTCAATGCTAGTGAACTTTTATGACTTTTTTTATATTCAGTCTTCTTTTTGTGTGTTTTCAGGGAATGCGGCCATCTAAATTTCCAGCAGTATGTTTCTCTCCTCATTCTACCCACCCAAGACTCTGTGTCAAGGAGTCAGCAACCAATAAATGGTCATGAATATGCTGTGTTTGCCTCAACATTAAAAGAAGGCTTTCGCCGGGCACAGGGGCTCACGCCTGTAGTCCCAGCAGTTTGGGAGACCAAGGTGGGGGGATCACCTGTGGTCAGGAATTCAAGACTAGCCCAGCCAACATGGTGAAACCCCGTCTGTACTAAAAATACAAAATTAGCCAGGTGTGGTGGTGGGTGCTTGTAATCCTAGCTATTTGGGAGGGGCTGAGGCAGGAGAATCACTTGAACCCAGGAGGCTGAGGTTGCAGTGAGCCAAGATCGCATCACTGCACTCAAACCTGGGCAACAAGAGTGAAACTCCATCTCACAAAAAAAAAAAAAAAAAAAAAAAAAAGTCGGCTTCCTGGACACACAGTCACCCTTTATTTTCATGTGGTGAGTTAAAGGAGGTGTTTCTCAGCCACAGGCAGGATGCACTGGCTGATAGCATTAGGACAGTGACTCATTTAAAGGAATCTTTGGGAATCTCCTCAATGGAAAAAGCTTCCTCACCAAATGCTCCTGGCTTTGTACATTGGGATTTTGAAGTTTGGATTTTCTGCTCTCAAGGTAGCTAAAAGCACATACCCTGAGTCACTGTGCCACCTCATTTACTAACAGTCTCTCATGCAACACCTAGAGCAGTGCCTGGCATACAGGTACATGTTTAAGAAATATCTCTGACCGCATGTGGTGGCTCACGCCTGTCATCCCACCACTTTGGGAGGCCGAGGCCAAGGCTGGTGGATTACTTGAGGTCAGGAGTTCAAGACCAGCTTGGCCAACATGGCAAAACCCCACCTCTACTAAAAATACAAAACCTGGCTGGGCATGGTGGTGCACGCCTGTAATCACGGCTACTTGGGAGGCTGAGACAGGAGAATCACTTGAACGAGGTGGAGCTTGCAGTGAGCTGACATCATGCCAGCGCATTCCAGCCTGGGTGACAAAGCAAGACTTTGTCTCAAAAGAAAGATCTCTCAGCCAGGTGCAGTGGCACCCACCTGTAATCCCAGCACTTTAGGGGACCAAGGCAGGAGGATTGCTTGAAGCCAGGAGTTAGAGAGCAGCCTGGGCAACAGAGCAAGACCCAATTTCTACAAAAGACTCTATGGAGTGTGACTCAGGGCACCCGCTTGCAGCTACTCTGCGTGTGCCTATAGTCCCAGCTACTCAGAAGGCTGAGGTGGGAAGAGCCCTGAGCCCAGGAGTTTGAGGCTGCAGTGAGCTACGATCATGCCCCTGCACTCCAGCCTGGGCGACACAGTGAATTTTTCTTCTTGTCTCTAAAAAAAAAAAATAAACAATTTAAAATAATAAAAATTAAAAATGAATATCTCTTTAACCAACGAGTGAATTCAGCACACTCACCGAGGATTTGCTTACATTGCAAGCCCTATAGCTTACAGAGGAACTGAGCGTTGCGGATAAGATGAACCCACACATTATTAGACTAACAGGTAAATGGGGACCAGCATCTCAAGAAGCCCAAATCCAAACAGTACCCATTTCCTGAACACCTGCATATGCTGTTCATGTTGCCGCCCAATAGTCCCCAAAGCTAAATGCTGTCACCCCATATAACAGAGAGGTTAAATGACTAAGACCTCAGTACCAAAAAGTGGGGACACGGGATGAACCTCCAAAGCATGCTAACTAAAAGAAGCCAAACGTAATATGGGTATATTTATATGAAATGTCCAAAATACATAAATCCAGAGAATAGTTGTCAGGGGTTGGGGGCAGGTTGGGAGGTGGTGACTGCTTCATGAGTGTGAGATTTTCTTGGGGGCTGATGGAAATCTTTTGGAACTAGGTAGAGGTGGTTGCACAACATTGTAAATCAACTAGATGACACCAAATTGTTTACTTTTTATAAATCTCACCTTAATTTAAAAAAAAAAAAAAATGTGTCAGTTGTGTGCAGTGCTAACACCTGTAATCCCAGCACTTTGGGAGGCCAAGGCGGGAGGATCACGAGGTCAGGAGATCGAGACCATCCTGGCTAACATGGTGAAAACCCCGTCTCTACTAAAAATACAAAAAATTAGCCGGGCATGGTGGCACATGCCTTTAGTCCCAGCTATGGGGAGGCTGAGGCAGGAGAATCACTTGAACCCAAGAAGGGGAGGTTGCAGTGAGCCAAGATTATGCCACTGCACTCTAGCCTGGGCAACAGAGAGAGACTCAGTCTCAAAAAAAAAAAAAAAAAAAAAAAAAAAAAAAAA